TAACTTAACCTTTTTTTAACATTTAATTTCTCCTTATATTTGTTACTACTACTACTATTATTACTTCTACTATTACTACTATTACTTCTACTACCATTACTATTACTATTACTACCAATATCCTAACAATAACAATGTCCTTTGATAAAGATGAAAAAATATATATATATACAAAACAATTAACATTATATTAATCTCCCTTTTTTGCGACAACGAAAAAATAAGGAAAACGATTCGAAACGAAATTAAATGTTAAAAAAAAGTTAAGATAAACGTTTATCAAGGAACAGGAAGGAAACAACGATTTCACGCGACCACGAGAGACCAACGGAGAAAATGAGATAATGGAAGAGCAGGAAAAAGATATATTAAGATGGATACTTAAAAAGGGGGTTGGATAATTATACAAATAAGTCATAGAGATATTGCATACATATTTCTGTAAATATCTAACTTAAGTATTTCATAGGCGACATACCATACTGGTTTTGCTTTTTCCGATTATATATATATATATATATACATATATATATATATATATATATATATATATATATATATATATATATATATATATATATATATACATAGAGAGAGAGAGAGAGAGAGAGAGAGAGAGAGAGAGAGAGAGAGAGAGAGAGAGAGAGAGAGAGAGAGAGAGAGAGAGAGAGAGAGAGAGAGAAATGATCTAACAGAAAGATAATGTGCAAGTGATAATAAGAAAAAGGAACTTCTCCTGAAACATTAAACCACTAAATTACTAATAGTATCCTTGACCTTCTGTAAGACAACGAACTTTCTTCCAGACGAGCTGACCTTTTTTCGCACGGCCCCAGCGTCTGCGATTTCCTTTGACCCAGTGACCTTCGACTTAGTCTTAAACCCAATGACCTTCCCTATTTTCGGTGACCTTGTTTCAGTCCTGTGACCTTTGACCCATTCACAACCCAATGACCTTCTCCAACTCTTACGACCTCATCGACCTTCTACTCCTCCTCGACCCTGTGACCTTTCTCCCAGTCGGTCCCACACTAATGACCTTTTTTTTATTCGATCTTCCACCCCTCCCCCTCCCCCCCCCGTGACCTTCCTTCCCACGACCTCCTCCCCCCCCTATGAGCTTCCCAATCACGACCTCCTCCTTCCCCCCCTGTGACCTTCCCAGCTGACCTCGCTCGACCTACCTTGGGACAGCGGGGACACGAGGTGCAGGATGACGGAGGCGGCCCCGGCGGAGTTGCCCACCAGGAGGATCTTGTCCTTGTGGCCCCCGAAGGCACTGGCGTGGCGGCGCACCCACAGGAGGGCCATGCGCTGGTCCAGGAGCCCCCAGTTGCCCCTCGACCACCCGTCGCCCGTCGACAGGAACCCTGGGGGGGGAGGGGCAGGTAAGGGGGGAGGCGAGGCAACGAGATCATGATATATTTGTGATAATGGTAATTAATAAAGCATAATAAATAATCATAATCAATTTATGATAATGGTAATTAATAAAGCATAATAGATAATCATAATCATAATAAATTTATGATAATAGTGAACAAATAAAGCAAAATAGATAATCATTAATCATAATAAATTTGCGATAATGGTATTTTATAAAGCATAATAAATCATCATAATAAATACATTCAAAAGAAATTAAGTATGACAAGAGGGTGAGATAAGAGAGGTTATCACGTCATGAGGGTAAGCGTATAGATAAAGCTTCAGGATAAGTGTGTGTGTCATAGATGTCATAAATGTCATGGAGTTATACGCTAAAAACTATATTAAATCCTAAATTATGGGGAAAAAAAAGCCATGAAGACAAACGGATCTAAGTTACTGTAAGTCATATGATATACTGCATATTATACTAACATGAATTTAAATAATAAAGACACTGATACTACTGCTACTGATACTACTACCACTAATGATGAAAACGGTCCCCCGGCACACTATTGGGTAACATTTCACACTTTCATTTTCAATCTTTCTCCTCTTTTTTTTCCCTCCTCCCTTCCTTTTTTTTCCCCTCCCCCTCCCTTTCCCCTTCACTCTCTTTATTCCTCCTTTCCTCTCTTTTTTCCTCTTTCCTCTCTTTTTTTCCTCCCCTTTCCCTTCCCCCTCTCATCTCTTTTTTCCCCTTCCTCTTCCTTTCCCTTTCTCTCTCTTTTTCCCCTTCCCTCTTTTTTCCCCTCTATCTATTTCCCCTCCCCTCTCCCTTTTCTCCTCCCTCTCTTCTTTCCCACCCCATCTCATCTCTTTCTTCCCCTCCACCTCCCATCTCCTCCCCCCTCCCCCTTGCTTTCCCCCTCCCCTCCCTTTCCCCCTCCCCCACTCCCTCCCTTTCCCCTCCCCCCTCCCTCCCTTTCCCCTCCCCCCCTCCCACCCTACATTCAACCTTGACCCTCTGTGCGTGGGAGGTGACACAGAGAAGATAAACAATTTTTCCTTTTCGCTTAAAGGGAAAAGAAATTTGAGAATGATGCTCCCTGCGCCATTAAAAGCAACG